ACGGGCGCTATGTGCCTAGCACTGTATTAGGGCCTGGGAGGGAGGAGGATAGTTAAGGTAATATTGATGATGATGGAAAAACCAGCTCTACTACAAGCTCAGGATGATAGACACGATGCATATATTACTTCTCTTCATCCCAATAGTCCCATGAAGGGAACATTAACCCCATTTTTGCAAATGGACAAACAGGCACTGAGAAATTAAATCAGTTGCCTAAAATCACATACCTGGTGTGGTTTCATCACCAGGATTCGAACCCGTCTCTCTGACTGCAAATTCCGAATTTTTAATTTGCAGCAATGCTACTTACCTCATAATGTATAAACCCCAATCTGAAAAAGCTTCCACCCTAACTAAGAAGACATTAATAACATACACAAAAGAATTTAGTCCATGTCTGAATTCTATTACAGTATTTTATGGGAATTAGCTGGTTCAGGGGCAAAAAAGAGAATAAAATGGGCTGAGGAAAAGGAGAAGCATGTCCTACACAGAGAATTAACTTCTCTACAATTCATCTAGAATACAGAGCCATTAGCGTAGAAACTCTGTACTCACCCAGACGTGTTTTAAATTCAATTTTATTTTCGGGATCCTCATCTTTCCTGAAAAGACAAAAAATATTTTTGCTAAACGTATTCTGACTTTAGGTCCCACCTTTTAAACTCTCGAGTTCGCCGTGATGTTTACTTACTTGGTTTCCTTCTGGGGCTTTTCCATGAGCTCTTCCTCCTCTTTCTCTTTGCTGGCAATCTCAGCTCGTACCTACCAGGAGAGCAAGTAGGGTTTAGACCCTTATTCATTTACATGAATTTACTGAACACCACTACACCACACTGTACCAGGAACTAAGAATTCAGTACTAAACAAGACAATATAATCCTTGCCCTAATGGAGCTTATAGCAGGAGAGACAAACAAACAACGAAGTGAGATAACTGCTATAATAAGTGAAACAGAAGAGGTATGCGAGGGTGTAGGAAGTGGGAGGTAAGGAATAGGGGAAGTTAACCATACCTGGGTGTTTAAGAAAGGTTTCCCAAAGAAACTAAAATTGAGGCTGAGACTTGAAAAATGAGTAGTAATCAGTCTACAGAGGGGACACTGTTAGCCCTTCTAGATGGTTTGAACTAACAGCAATCTCTCTTCTTACCTTGAAAGGCCCATTCAAGAGCATTCAGCATTCTAGTGTTACTCTCCGCTCATTCACCAAGGCTCACCTTTTGAAGCAAAGCAAAATCCAAGCCTTTCACCAAATGGGTGTGTTCCATGTCACCACCCAAAAATTTGGACTCTTGGATCAACTGTCTTCTCTTCTCTGCAGCTGATTTGTCCCTGTATAATGAAAGAGGCCACATTAGAATAGTCTTTTGTGGGGGGGCAAGTGCATCTTGAAATGGCATGGTGTGAGCTCCAGAGCAGGAAAAGTGTGAGGAAGAATTCATATTATAATTCTATGACTCTGGGATGCTGAGGGAACAAAGCCCAGGCCCCCTCAGTACTCACGCCTCAGCGGTGGGGCCCACAGCCCTGTAGTTAGCTGTGGTGCTGATAAGCTCGGTTTCCTCATAATCTTTATTTACACCATCTCGACGTTCCTTGGCACGGTCCCGGTACTTCTCTGCTAGTTCCCGCTCTCTCTCAATTTCTTGTTGGCGAAGCTTGGCATAATAACTGTGACCAGAGAAAGGCAAATGTGTAAGGCTCACCAGCTAATATCCCAAGGTCAGCAGAATGGTTCCTGCCTGTTTCCCTATACCTTTATCCAACTCTCTACGGCAAAAGTTCATATACGTCCTGACAGAACTGCTTGCCACCTCTTGCCAGTCCTCAAAATCACAACTACAGCATTTTCTGGCTCACATCGTTCCAAAACCACCTCAGGATACTCCATCTGTCACTTTAGTATTCTTTAATGCTACCCAACTCTACATCACTGAGTCTCTACAAGTGTGAGATTTTTCCATACAGCAACAATGAAGTCATCTGAATTTTTATCGCCTTCCAAATTTCAACAGAAAATAAATCATTCCTTGCCAGTCCACCCCAAGAAGAAAGGAAAAGCAAAGTATATGTCCCGAAAGTTTAGTATCATAAATGATGACGAATAAGATGATGATGATGGCAGCCAAGACTTACATGCCAGACACTGGTGCTAAGTATTTACATGCATTATCACAGTTGATCCGCAAGATAATCTGATAAAAGTTATTATCACTATCTCCATTCCACAGATGAGAATATGGAGGATTAGAGAGTTAGTTAAGCAAATGCCCAAGGTTCTCCAGCTAGAAACTGGTAAACATGAGATTAAAATACCACAGACTGACTCTAAACCCCTAAACTGCCCCTCCACATATCAGTCTTCTCCAGAGAACCTTAAGACAATAAAGACAAACCTCGGTCTGCAGCCTTATAACTAGCCCCTATTCCTTTTCTCCAAATACTATCCACCTTAAAACTCAACACTCCCCCATCCTTCCTTCACCTTTTCTTTTTTCTCCTTCGTGCAGCTGGGTCTTCATCCTCATTGTACTCCCTTGGCATCCTAGAAGAAAGAGAAATTCGCTGAATGCAAAATATTGCCACAATCCCAAAAATCACAAGAATTGACTGCGAAGACTGATCAAAGCAACAGTTTCAATCAGGCAGAGATCCATGTCAATATCTATATGGGTATCTCCAAATATCTGCCCCAGAATCTGAGTCTCTGGGGGCTGGAATGGACCCAGAAATACGCCCATTTAAACACCAGCAGCAATTCAAGTACAAGTGACTCATGGAACATACTCTGAGAAAAAGTGAGACCCTAGCGCATCCCATTCTCCAATGGAACTTCAATCTCCAGAAGGAGAGACTGGAAACATAGGCTTCAAAAAAGAACTAGCTTTCCAGTTCCTAAGACATCCAGACCAGTAGATTTTCTATAGGAAGGTGATGAGAGACAGCTTGGATCACTCCAGAACTTACTCATGGTGACGTGACTTAGAGGGTGGTGCAGAGGTAGGTGCAGCCCTTGGGGTCATGAGCAGTTTCCTAAAGTCTTCATTGGTGAGTTTCGATCTAGAAAGCAAAGATTTTAAAAATCAGTACCCAATAAGAATTGGAAAAGGAATATGTGGAAAGCATGGTTAACTGTACTGGAAATCAGGGAAATACAAATTAAGATAAAAACATGCCACTTTTAATGCATCAGAGTGTTAATTATTAAAAAGTTTGATAAACTAAGTATAGGTAAGAATTTGAGAAGCTGATATTCTCATATACCACTGATGGGAGTGTAAGTCAGTAAAGCATATTTGGAGGGCAATTTGGCAGCAACTATTAAAATTTAAGTGTGTATATCTTATGACCCGGCAACTCCATTCATCTGTGTAGCCAATTACTGGAATATGTGTATAAAAAGTCCTGTAAAGGTGATTCAATTACAGCTTTGAAAATAAAAACTTGCTAACAACCTAAATGTTTATTAACTGGAGAGCAAATAAATTGTGACAGCGTTTCTAAAATGTGGGGCAGAGAGCACTGATGGTACAAGAGATCATTTTAATTGGTAATGACAAAGACTCACTCCTTGACCAAACTTTAGCCAGGTTGCTTTGAGACCTCTTTCAACCAGGCCTCTCCTAG